TAAGTGGTATTTTTAGTAATAAGTTCACCCTTATTCAGCCAGACTCAAATTTTTTTAGCTTTTTTTATTCTTTAGACTAACAGCTTTCATACAAAGTAGCTAAAAGTTTAATTTACTGTTTAAGTAGGCAAAAATTTGATAAAGTTGTTGTGCATGTAACGTAAGTTAAAAATGGAATTGCTTGTATATATATGGGCATTTCCATGGCGTAAAATGAAAAAGTAGTCAAATTTTATTCTCTTTTTTGTCAATTTTTAGCAAATGAATATTGAAGTAGACACATAAAGGTTTATTTAAAATATACCAGGTATACCGGTATGAAGTGAGCGTCAAGATACAAATGTCTCGATAGGGAACATTTGTTGTGAACGAGCCTTTATTTTTTTTAGTTTGTTTGCTATGACATCTGTGAAACATATTTAGTATACATCAAGTCATTGAACAGACAACATCATATTTTTTCATCGTGTTAAAAATGTCGAATTTTGTACCAGAAAGTGATGATTTGCGGAAAGCATTAATTTTTTGTTTTCATTTGAAGAAAAGTGCTGCAGAGTCGCATTGAATGCTTGTCGAGGCATATGGTGATCATGCTCTATCAGAAACAACATGCAAAAGATGGTTTCAACGGTTCAGAAATAATGATTTTGATGTGAGAAATGAAGAACGTGGAAGACCACCAAAAAAGTTTGAAGACGCCGAATTGCAAACGATATTGGATGGAGATGACACTTTGAGTCAAAAGCAAATGGCAGAAATGTAAATGTTGCACAACAAACAATTTCTGACCGTTTAGAAGCTATGGGAAAGATCCAAAAGTGTGGAAAATGGGTGCCACATGAATTGAATGAAAGACAGATGGAAAACCGAAAAAACACTTGTGAAATTTTGCTTCGAAGACACGAAAGAAAATCGGTTTTGCATCGGATTGTTACTGGCGATGAAAAATGGATTTATTTTAAGAATCCTAAACGGAAAAAATCATGGGTTAATCCGGGACAACCATCAACATCAACTGCAAAACCAGATCGATTCGGCAAGAAGACAATGCTGTGTGTTTGATGGGACCAGAAAGGTGTGGTGTTCCACAAGCCCTAAAACCTGGTGAAACCGTCAATACTGATCCCTACCGACAACAAATTATCAATTTGAACCATGCATTGACTGAGAAACGACCAGAATGGGCCAGAAGACACGGCAAGGTAATTTTGCTCCATGACAATGCACCTGCACACAAAGCAAAACCGGTTCAGGATACAATCAAAACACTTGGCTGGGAGCTACTACCCCACCCGCCATATTCACCAGACTTGGCTTCTTCTGACTACCATTTGGTTTCATCGATGGGACACGCATTGGCTGAGCAGCACTTTGATTCCTACGAGGAGGTCGAAAATTGGGTGTCTGGTTGGTTTGCTTTAAAAAACGAACAATTTTATTGGCGTGGTATCCACAAATTGCCAGAAAGGTAGTCAAAATGTGTAGAAAACAATGGCCAATACTTTGAATAAAATGTTTTATACTTTCCCATTAATAATTAGTGTTTTATTTTCACAAAAAACGCTCATTTCATACCGGTATACCTGGTACCTTTAGTACTATAATTAATTTATTTAACTCATTTTTATGCTTCCAAAAGTTATGGTTTTTCTCATTGTCTTTTGTCATTGTCGCATCATAAAAAATGTATCATTTTAAAGTGTTATTTTAACCATGAATTTATTTTAACCATTTATTTGCATAATCCAAATTAATTTAGTATGAAAATGGAGCTAGCATGTTCAATTTGTTGTTAGTTAGATTTTATACTTTAAAAATGTTTTAAAAAAATAACAAAAGAATTTTTGCAATTTTCATTTAACGTAAGTTAACGCAAGCATGATTTAATTTTTTTTTTTTTTTTTAATTTAGTTAAAAAACTTAAATTTTTTAATAATATATGAAAAAGAGTATTAAATGTCAAATTTTTACATTGAAAGTTTTGAATAACAATGCTTAGTTAAAGCACATTTTAATTTGTGTACACGGATTTACTAAAGCTCTGGCGCTTTTTATGTAAAGTTTTTGTTACTTACAAAATGAACACTTACCTTAAGTAATTCTTATTTGGTTAATTTTTTTTGTTTTAGTAAAACAAATCATTTGTAAATGCAATTAAGAGGGGCTTTCCATAAAGTGCCTCACCTTATATTGAACACTTACTTATAATGAACACTTACCTTTGAGTAATTCTTATTTGGTTAATGTTTTTTGTTTTAGTAAAACAAATTATTTGTAAATACAATTGAGAGGGGTTTTCCATAAAGTACCTCACCTTATATTTATCAATTTTTAACCCTCCTGTCAGAAACAATAACATATATCTGCATCTCCTCTTCCTCCTAAGCAGTTTTTAAGTGTAAGAAGTAAAATTTTTGACAAAGATTTTCTCATTCAATCGACTCAATAAGTATTAATATTAGTTGTCATACTAGCGTAATTTTTAAAAATTACTCTTGGTTTTGCGGAAAACACTGTTATCAATTTAATAACTTTGATAAATGTTATAAAAAATCACTTAGGAAGAGTGCTACTAGTTTTTCAAAATTGCCTTTGTTAATTACTTTTAATAAATGAGTTCAATACTTTTGCAATTATTTTGTTACATAACTCTAAAAAATCTAACTCCTAATAATAGATATTAAAAACTCCCTAATAATAATCGTTGGTTAATGAAATTGATGTGAAAGGTTAAATATATTGTATCAAAAAAACAAATATATTTTCCTTAATTGGTATAGAATTCTCAACATCTTGTGAGAATCTCAAATACAGTCTGCTTTACTGATTTGCAGAAATCTGACCTAAAAGATGAAACAATTTTTTTACCTTGTTTTCTGCGTAACATAAGTGGCATTTTCAGTCATAAGATCATCCTCTTTTGGCCAGACTCAAAACTTTTCAGCTTATTTTATTCTTCAGACTAATAGCTTTCATACAAAATAGCTAAAAATTTAATTTAGAGTTTAAATAAGCAAATATTTGATAAAGTTGTTGTGCGTGAAATGTAAGTTAAAAATAAATAATAAGAATATATATATATATATATATATATATATATATATATATATATATATATATATATATATATATATATATATATATATATATATATATATATATATATATATATATATATATATATATATATATATATATATATATATATATATATATATATATATATATATATATATATATATATATATATATATATATATATATATATATATATATATATATATATATATATATATATATATATATATATATATATATATATATATATATATATATATATATATATATATATATATATATATTGTTTTCACTTAATACTAGTTTCTTATGAACAACTTTTTTATTAGAAAACATATATAACTTTGACAATAATGTTAATAATAAATGAATTTAAAATTAACTTTAAATTCTTTATAATTCTTTTACACATTGAAAATCTCAATTTTGGTATTTTTAAATTGTATTAGTACTTACATAATAGCTGTGGACTAAGCTGGAAACTTCAACATATTCAATAAAGATGGGTTCATATTATAAATTTTTTTCATACAATTAAAAATTTTCATAAAGTTAATCACTGCCAAAAATCTTCATTTACACAAATAACTTTTAAAAAACTTATAAAATTTAAAATGATCTGAAATTATCTGGTTAATTTTGAAAAATTACTTGGTTAATGGGTAAGAAAAAATTCACAAATTACTTGGGTAATGGGCAAGGTAATACTCGGGTAAGAAACACTGATATGAATCAATAGTAATTGAAATATATTAAACTATTTCTTGTTTAAAAGCTAAAGGTTAGCATGATAACATATAAACTACTGACCCAAGTTTATCTTTTTCTATTTTAAAAATATTTAAAATGGTAGCTGTTGTTTGTTCAGTTAAGTATCATCTTTTACAGTGTTTATAATATCTCAAAAGTAAATATATTTTATACATAAATAAGCAATGACTTGTTAGCAATACATGTCAGTATATTTATACATAGCATAAGCAATAACTTATTTGCAATACATGTAAATATTTGTTGAACCAAAAGTAGTTAAAATATATGTTTAAATCGGTTGATTTTATCAGGTTTCTAATAACTTTTTTATTACAACATATTTGTCAATTAATCTTTTTTTAAAACAAATTTTACTCCTAACAAGGCTGCAAGCAACTGCTAAATTAAGGTCTTAGGAAAAAAAGTAGTGAGTTAGAGGGAAAGAAAGCTGACAGTTGATTGGTTGATATTTGATTGGTTGACAAGATTTAAAAACTGTAAATTGTATGGGTCTGGAAAACAATTTACAAGTTGGGAGAGAATCCAAAAGCGACATTGTTCAACAACAACAAAAATACTATGTAAATAAACATTTTTTCGAACATTAAGAAACAGTTACAATAAAAGAATCCCACTTTTGGTTTATTGTAAGTTAAAAAACTCTTATTGAAAACATGTTTAAAAAATCATAAATAAACTTTTGAAAAATATTAAAAAAAAAATTAAAATTAAAATAAAGTATACTTTTGTCCTAATAAAAATTTGCTTTATCAGCTCCGTGTTGACTTTAAATGTTGTTTTTCTTTATGAGCTCCATGTTGACTTTAAATATTGTTTTTATTTTTGCAACCAATTTTAAAACTAATCCATTAAAAAAATTATTAAGTCTTCTTGTCTGACAGTATTGAGATTAATTTATATTGATATGAGGCTATGAAGTAACCTAATGTGGTTAAGTAACATGTGATTGTGGTGTAGTGGTAGATTGTTTGCTTCATATTTAAGTAGTATTAAATTCAATCCCCACATCTCTAGTATTATGATTTGCTATTAAAATTTGATGCTACAATTAGGGTTGTAAAACAATTAAACAAAAAATTAAAGATAAAAAGAGTACCATCTTTGAAGTATTTTTTTGATTTTAATTTTTTTATTATTCAATAATTTAGAAATCCAGATGTACAAACTCAAGTATGTTTTTTGTTTGTTAGTTATTTTTTATTTTTTTATAAAATATTTCATATTAATATTCATATATAATATTTTATATTAATGTTTATATATATTATTTCATTTAACTGATATATCTGTATTGTAAAGATCTATAGTTATATACAAAAGCTTATGATATAAAATGGTTGAAATTATGTTTTTAATTTTTTCTGTGTGCCTGTAGATTGAGTTATACTTACATTACTCCACTACTTAGTTCTTTACTAATTTGTTTTGCCTTTACCAGTTATATATATATATATATATATATATATATATATATATATATATATATATATATATATATATATATATATATATATATATATATATATATATATATATATATATATATATATATGTAAATTAGTAGAAAATCACTTAACAAAATTTTTTTGTTGTTAAGTGATTTTCTACTAATTTATGACTCATCAGAAAAGCATTTCTGATGAGTCTTTGTTGATGAAACACAGTGTAAAATGAAAAAAAATTTTGTTAAGTGATTTTCTACTAATTTATAATTGCTCTGTTTTTTATTTTTTTAAGAACATTGAGCACTCTATTTTGCTCTAATATGTATATATATATATATATATATATATATATATATATATATATATATATATATATATATATATATATATATATATATATATATATATATATAGATATATATATATATATATATATATATATATATATATATATATATATATATATATATATATATATATATATATATATATATATATATATATATATATATATATTAGAGCAGGTCAAATTTTTTTTAAGAAGCATTTTTTAATATTGTGTTAGGTTTCAGTATATACATAAAGGATGTTACTCTCGAGTGCCGAATACAACGGGGGGTGGGAGTTTTAGTCAAAATCTAATACAACGGGGGTTGGGAATAAACGGGTGGGTGGGAATTTTAGTCAAAATCTAATAAACGGGGGGGAGGGGGGTTTAATAAACGCTGGGGGGGGGGAATGAGAGATTTTTTCTGAAATTTAATAAACGGGGGGGGGGGGGGGGATTTATAGTAGGAGGAGGATTTTATCTACAAAATAAATGTTCGGGTTTTTTTGTTTAAAAAAAAGGAACATCTTCTAGTTCTAGTAAACAGAGAGAGAATGTAATCCCCGTACCCCTTCTTACAACCCCCGTAGTAATGTACAAAAATAATTTACCAAAAGAAAATGTATGACTTTAAAAAAGGTTTATTTGTCAATATTTATTAACTTTAAATAAAATATATAAAAATGATCTTTTTTATTAAATAGATCCTCGAAAGCGTTCCTGATTGAATCATTTTCATCGCGGTGTTCCACTTCATTTTCTAACTGTTCGTTGTCAATGGCTTTAAAGTTGTTTTCAATATGGCTTTTTATGGCACGGCGAGATGTTATATAGCTCCGTTTCAATCTTGTAAGATGTGGGATAAATTGGGTAGATGTTTCTGCATTACATAAAAGTTTTCCTAATTCATCAATGAAAACAGCATCTTTTCTTAGGTCATCATTGCCTTGACATAAGTCACCTAAAAAAATGTTGGATGAACTATCGGTATTTAAATTAACTTGATTGTTTTCATCTTGATTTTCTAAAGCACTTGTTTCCAAATTTGTATCGTTTTCCTCATCTGTCTGATGCTCTTCATCAAGTTGATTTATAAATAATGTTTCACCTTCACAATCAAATAATTCATATCCTTCATCTAGCGGCTCTGTTTCACAAGTGTTTTGTCCTTGCTTTCGTTTCACTCCTTTTGGAGGTGTAATTAGCCCCTGAAGATCTTTCAAGTTTCTTGGGCTTGGGGTAAGCATAAGTTTTTTCCGAAATGCTTGAAGCTTTTCTCCCACTAAGGTAAATATTCTTTCCGAAACTAGATAATCCTCGCTTCCGTCTAAAGCATTGGTTACCCACAGTGCCTTAAATCGACTAGTAACATCAATCTCCAACGAATTCGAACTTTTTAGTAGCATTTGCATCATGTGATCCCTGGATGACTGTGGAATTTTTTTGGGGTCAAGCCTCAATTGCTCTATCATAAGATTTTGCTCCAATTCTCGGTATTTAGCTTTTAAAGACCTGTGGAAATCTGTATCGTTAATTTGAACGTCCCCTGTAACACCACCATCTATTACAACGTAAATATAGCCTTTCTTTAGTAAGGCAGCTTTGATTTCTGGCATTATATGAACACTATAATCATCTAGAACATAAATCCCATAATTTTGATGTGTAAAAATATTGTGTCTGTTTGGTAAATTAGCTATTGTACTCAGCATATGTTCCAATCAATAGGAACCTTTAGGTGCCCATTGAAACTTCACATCTTGAGGAAGATTAAGTTTAACCCTAACACCTTTGCCTTTAAACACAAATTCTGGTTTAATTGAGACTTTAAAGTCACTGCAAACTTGAGTGTAAAAGTAGTTCGTTCTCTTGAAAGAGAATAATTTTCTTTGACGTATGTGTCCTAACCAGTAAAGTTCAAGGTCTTTTGGGTAGAACTTTCATTTCGGTGGAGTGGCATTTGGTCACCATCCAGCACAGGTGGATCAACTCCAAAATTTTCAATAAAGTATTTACGTACAGTCCAAATGTTTTTCAGATACTCAAATATTCTTTCTTAACGGTCAGCCTGCATTATTTGAAAGCGTTTGTTAGGATGGCGCAGACTGACACCATACTCACTCATCCAGTTATTTAACCAACCGTTTGAGAAAACAATTTTCTCTGTTCTCTGGCACCTCTTCTGGTTGTTGGGCAAGCCACTGTTTATAAAAAAGTTTGCATTGTGCTGTAAACATTTTCCTGGGTAAACGTGCTTTAAGGGTTTCACAGATGTCTACAAACTACTTGAATAAAAGTTGTCTGATGTCTGGGATGGTTAATTTTTGTCCTCCTCCTGCTTGACGATACCTTGATTTGCTTGGAGGAGCAGTTACAGCATCTTCATCAGCCTCAACTTGGTTTAGACATCTTTTCCCAAGTTTTAGGGCTTTTGTTAAGGTTGGATTATCATGCTTAATGTCTCTTGCGAGGTAATCCTTCGCGTGGCAATGTTTTAACGTGTTTCTTTCTTTTTTCACTAAAGTTGACTTTTTGAAAGTTTTCAGCAATCGATATAGCATACTCTTTTTTGTAACTTTTACAAAGTTTACCTAAAGCATTTTTTTCTTCCAAACTGTATTTATCTCGGTCAGATCTTGAAAATTTCCAATCTGGCGCCATCATACAATATAAATATTTTTGTAAAAAATTTTAATTTATAAATCCAAACCAATATTTTTTACAAAGCATGCATAAAACTATTTATGCATGTTCAAGTCAAATGCGCATTTGACTTGCGGTCAAAAGCGCATTTTCTAACAGCTGTTAGGGTAGAGTTAGGCTGTTTTATCATAATTTCAATAGGATTTAATATGCTGATATAAGTTTTATACTTTGCAAAGTATAAAACTTATATTCAGCATATTAAATCCTATAATTAAAACCAAAGCTTTGTTGAGAAATAAACTAAAAGTTCATTTTTAGCAAATCGAGATTTAATAGGTCGACAATTTGTAAAACCTGTTTATACTGAAAGTTTTCGTTTTTATTGGTGACTGAAAATTATTTCCAAATTTTTAAGGCCGATTCTCACTGAATTTTTTTTTTTACTTTTGAGATATATAATTTTTTTGTTGATAACAAGTAAAAATTAATAAACAGGGGGAAATGGGGGGGGGTCTTAATAAGCTTAGGGTGGGTGGGAAAAATACCCAAAAATTAATAAAGTGGGGGGAGGACGTTTATTAGGAACTCGAGAGTAGGCAATTTTGAGATCTGTGCCAGCCTCCTTAGGGGTCAAACACAAAATCTGATTTTGGCAATTTTTATCTTAATTTTATTTTATATCATATAATTGAATTTTGTTATAAAATACAAATTCTCTATTAAAATACTATTTTAAAAAGGGAATATATAATTTTAAAATTGCTTACTTTAAGAAAAGCACCAAAATGAACTTTAAAAAATTAAAAAATATAGCAAAAAAACTTTAGATTCTAGGTACATAAACTATTTTTATTTATATCTTTATTTAAATGCCTTATTTCAATTGTGCTTTCCAACAAACTTAGGCATTTTTTCCCTGGATTCCAATAAGTTTATTGCAAATTTGTTATGCTTTTCATGGCCATACCTAATTTTGATGCTTTTGTGACTATTACAACAATTATTTCCATATTTTTACTATGACAAGGATATTTTGGAATACTCAATGGAATGTCATTGGTTCTCAAAATGTCTATTTTGTTCGTTAGTATTTCTGGACTTGAGTAATTTTTGTATGGCTGAAGTTCTAACTTCTTTTCTTTCATCATTTACCATTGCAAATAATATAATTTCAGTTCTCCCAACAAGTTCTTTTTTGGCATTACAATAGAAATATATAACCACTGAATAGTGTTTACTTTTTCATCCAAGGAGTATGGTTAATGTTTCCAGGAGAACTTTTATTATTTTGAAATCTGATTAAATAGATGAAAAGATTTTTGATCTGAATTTACTGAGGATGTTATCAGCAAGTAAATGAAAAGCGCCTTTTATTTTTTTGAAAAGAACTATCGCTAAATTAGTTAAGTCTTCTGTTATTTTTTAATCATTAACTCCTTAAAATGAAGCTGGTTCAGAAGTTTTTCCATCAATTAACTCAAACATATGTTTAAGCAGAAGTTCTTTTAAATGCAGACAAATAAGCCACTGGGTTGGTCTATCAAGTTCTGTTTCTATTAGTTTTATTATTCCTCTAAAGCTAGGAGCATTTACTATTGCATCACATAAGATAACATTTGAAGAACCACTACTGCCAGCTTCAAATACTAGATGGAGAATTTCATAAGCAATGTTATTGCTGGTGCTTGGTTTTCTAAGTGTTGTAATATGTTCTTCGTTAGCTGTCCCTGTAGTTGTTATAGTATTGTCTTTTCTTCCATCAAAACCAATACATTTTAGTTTCAAATTTATACATTTTATTCTAATTACATTTTTTGTCCAACACAAAGTCTTTCTTGTGTGGGAGAGTCTGCAGACTCTTGTGCTGAAGTTTTTTGTGTGATGTTTTATCATATTCACCAAATGCATGAATAAGACGTTTTTTAATGTTTAGTTTTCTTGACTTGTTGCAGTATCTAATTGTTTTAGTTAACATATATAATTTTTACTTTAGTTTTTTAACGGTCAGACATTGGACATTGTCTAGCTAAAACCTAGAAGTGTTTGAGGTCATCAAAACCTTGCTGACCTTGTTTCTATGTTTAATGCTAAAACCTTTGTATCACATTTTTTTGCCGACCTGATGCCGACTTGAATTCTAGTTAAAGCAATCTTTATAATTTATAGTGTTGATAGCTATTCTTTAATAGCTTCTTTTTATAAAACTAAATTAAAAAATTATTGCTTATTCAAAACAAACCTAAAATGTGCAATTAAAAAATGTCAATGAGCTAATTAACTTTTTAGATGAAAAAGATTTTTTTTCTATAAGCTATGAAAAAGATCTAAGAATAAGCTAAGAAGGATAAGTCCTGGATAGCATTTATATGTGTTGCTCATCACTAGAGTTTGCACTAAAGGATGTTTTATCAAAAATTGCTATTAATGACAATGATTAAATGCTTCTATGTTTACTTTATTTTTACAAAGAAGTACCAAAACAACTTTGTCAACTAAAAATTCACGATGCTTACAAAGAAGCAATGGAATTTGACATGGTGGATATTGACTTAACATGTGGTACCTAGAAATCCGGACAAAAGTTTGGTCGACATAAATTGTTTAAGGAGTGTTGCTTAATTGTTGCGACTTATGCTATGCTGTAGTAAATTTAATTCTCAACAAATTGCAATATATCTTTTAGCAAACAACTATTTATAATTTATAAAGAAAATTCTCAAAACAAGAAAACCTCAGAAAGCACGTGTACGCGTTCATCAATTTGCATCCTGATATGAAGAAAAGTGAGATTGTGAGACACTTCATGACTGAAGGCGCATCAAGGTCGACCCTGTGGGATATCCTGCAGCACAAGATGCTCAAAATAGGCCCTGAAAGACAGTGTGGAACTGGGCAGGTGGCAATCAAGATGAACACAAAGCAAATCACTATGCTGAAAAAGCGAATCGATCATAGTGACAGAGTTAGCCAGGGTCAGATAGCCCGCAAGTATGGTGTCAGCTGAAAGCACATATCAAAAACAATTAGCACCAAGACAACAATCAAATACAAAAAGTAGAAAAAAGTTCCGAATCGAACTCTGCAACAGAAGTCAGCCGTTTGTCCGAAGTGTGCCCACCTGGCCAGAGTTTTCCGGAAACAGAAGGTGATCATCAACGACGAGTCCTATTTTTCGTTGAGCAATAACAAGCTATCTGGAAATGCTGGTTTCTACACGTCTGACATCGAAATGACTCCAGAAGCTGTTAAACTCAAGCGCAATTAGACTCAACTCAAGAAAAAAAAAAACAACTCAAGAAAAAAAAAACGTTATATAGTTCTATATAACGTTATACTCTTATATATATATATATATATATATATATATATATATATATATATATATATATATATATATATATATATATATATATAAACATACACACACATATATATATATATATATATATATATATACATATATATATATATATATATATATATATATATATATATATATATATATATATATATATAAATTAGTAGTCACTTTTTTTATTTTACACTGTGTTTCATCAACAAAGACTCATCAGATTTCTGATGAGTCTTTGTTGACTCATCATCAGCAAAGACTTATCACATTTCTGATGAGTCTTTGTTGATAAAACACAGTGTAAAATTTAAAAAAAATTTGTTAAGTGATTTTCTACTAATTTATAATTGCTCTGTTCTTTTAAGAATATTGAGCACTCTAATTTGTAAAATACATTTTTAAAATTGTTTAAATATATATGTATATATATATATATATATGTATGTATATATATATGTATATATATGTATGTATATATACATATATGTATGTATATATATATATATATATATATATATATATATTATATATATATATATATATATATATATATATATATATATATATATTTATATATATACACATATATATAAAATCATATAAATAGATAAGATTAAATTTTATAAAAATATTAACATAACTTTTATAAATGCAATATAATGCAATACAATGTAAACTAATGAGGTTTTCGAAAAAATGAAAAAATAAGCTCAATAAAAATTTAAATCTGTCTAAAAAAGTACACAATATTTAGTTAAAACTATTTTATTAAAAAATACAAAAATCTGTGATGAAATAATATAGATTTTGTTTGCATAGATTGGTTTTCCGAAATCCCAATACGCCCGTAATTATTCTAAGCAAACCCAGCTGCAGTACTTTTTCACTCTTGTCATTTAGAGACCTGACTTTATTTCTTTGTAGATAGATATGAATGTATAGCAATACCTGTAAAAAATAGTTTTTGTTCAAATTATATTTTAAAAATTTGATTGGACACTGTCCGACTTTATAAAAAATTAAATTGAACCTTGTATATTTATATGTTTTTTTTATTTTTTTTTTCTTATCAAAAACATTTCCAAACAAACAGATAACATACATTGGTAATAATAAATACTTACAATTTATAAATGGTATGGTAGCCATTTTCGTTTATAGTAGTTATATAAAATTTTTTATATTTTAAATTTGATTGTTGTTTAACTTGTAATGTATTTAAAAGTTAAATTACAGGTTGAGTATGTTAATGAGAATGTGCTTGTCGAAAGTGTGTTTTTTATCCAGTTATTTTTTATTGACAATAAATACGAGATGAGGTAAATTTTTTTTATTAATAATTTATTTACTTAATTTATAAACAATTTATTTTCAAGCATGAGACAAAAGTTTTTAAATAATAAATATAAAATAATAATAATGAAGAAGAGTTTTTTTTTTTTTTTTTCCAGAGATAAAAAAAGATGGTTTTTTAATAAAAAATAAAATCAAAAAGAAAATTTTAATGAAAAAAAGTTTGTTTTTTTGCTATAATTAGTTTTAATCAAACTCTGATATCAGAACATTAAGCTAAATTATTCAAAATATTTTATTCTAGCCTTATTTATTTTGTATATATATATATATATATATATATATATATATATATATATATATATATATATATATATATATATATATATATATATATATATATATATGTTTAAATGCAAGTTTATCCATTTTTTTGTTTAGATCAATTGATTTTCTTCCAGCTGTTTTTGAGATATTTAAGGTAATTGTTGACTAAAAAATTTTTTTTCTTTCAAATAGAAAGTTGTTAGTATACACTAAAATAATTTAGCTAGTAAAGTAAACTCCTAATATTCTCTTTGGTTGTTTTTGATGTTTTTTTTTGATTTTTCATTTAAAGCAAATCCTCAAGGTTTTTATTTAACCTGATATGGCTGATCAAATATACAGTCATCAAATAAATTTAGTTTTAGTGCTATTCCGGGTGTAGATACACTAAAATTTAAAAAAAGTTTTTATTTTTTAAATTTTTTTCTGCATTAGAAGTTATAAAAGAAAGTTTATAAAGATAATTAATAATAAAGATTTTTTATTAATTTACAGAAAGATTATCTAGTGGTTACAATACCTCATAGTGTGCCTGAGTTTCCATTGTTGCAATGTTTTCAGGTAGTAAAACATTTAGTTATTATGTTAATACATTTACATTATGATTTGTTTTTACTTTTTTAATTTCTAGAAATTTACAGAGCAATATAAGTTATTTTCAAAACAATAAAAGATGACAAACAACAACCTGCTTTTTACTTAACTAATGCATACTTCTAACATAATAATTTTTTTGTTTCTTTTTTAGCGCATCCCTCCTAAATGCAATAGCATATTTTCTCAAGAACTTTATGTTTTTAATAGAAACGGATTCTTTAGGTTTTTAAAATTTTATTTTTAAAATCTTTTGTTTATATTAATATATATTTTATATTAAATTATTTTATTTCATATAAATTTTATATATTAAGTTGTATATATTAAGTTTTTTTTTATATACTTTTATACTATTTAGATCTTTCAGAGTTCGTGCTTTAACTAAAAAAGATTTAGAAGGGGTTACAGATTTAATAACAAACATTAAAGGAAGCAAATACATTATTGAGTAAATAATTTTTTAATTAAAATATTAAAAGTTTTTTTTTTTTTTTTTTTTTAATTAAAATAATAAATTTAGTATATTGAAATTAAATTTATTACTGCATCCTTTTTTTTTTATTATTAAAGATGAGTAATATATCAAATATATTATTCTATGACTATATCAAATATTTTAAATAAATATATCTGAATGCAAATTATATGGTGACAACACCAAATCACATGGTGACAACACCAAATTAATTTCAATTATTAATAAAAATAATAGCATTTTTAAATAATGAAACTGAACAAAGAAATGAAAAATGAAAAGAAAATTGCACCTCAGGACTAAAAATATGACTAGAGTACAAAAGATTACAAAATTGAAAAAACAAAATTAAAAGTTAATAAGATATTTAAGCGTATTAATATCAGCTTGTCTAAAATGGCAATTAAAATTAGCAGTTGCTAAAGCACTAAGGGCATTATTGGTTAAATATAAAGAACTTTCTTACTTAATGAGTTCTTAATGAGATGAGGTCTCACTAATAAGACCTCATCTCAAATTTACAGTATAAGTTTAGAAGCCAACTCTAAATGATGCTTTTATAGTATTCAAAAAGACAAAATAAAACATGTTCCTGATATCAAAATACTTATGAAGAAAGATTAGAATTTTAACTTCACAACTTTTGAAAATTGCAGAAACTTTCAGGGTGGATATCATGCTGCACTACAAAGTTTCAAATGGATTACAAATTGTGAATTGATTCAAGTATGCCCAAACTGCTATAACAAGTGCGATTATATAATAACAAATTCAATTCTGCACTAACAAGGAATGATTTTTCATCTAACATAGCATTTCAGTATGCTCTGCTGCAATGTATATCATTGTTTAAGCAAATATTCATGTATATATATACACAGCCCTCAGAATTAAGGTCAGCATTCTGCAACGCCGACCTAAAAGTAATTGAGGTTGGCAAAAAATTGCCAACCTCATTTCTATGTTATATGGTAAGACTTTTGCATCAATTTTTTTTTGCAGACCTGATGCCAATCTAAAAGATTGAGGTTGGCAAATTAATGCTGACCTCATTTTTCTTAATTCCAAGGGTTATATATATATATATATATATATATATATATATATATATATATATATATATATATATATATATATATATATATATATATATATATATATATATATATATATATATATATATATATATATATATATATATATCTATATATATATATATATATATATATATATATATATATATATATATATATATATATATATATATATATATATATATATATATAAAGGGTTATACATATATATGTTTATTATTATACTATTTTTGTATATTTTTTATTTAAAATAAGAAATATGTTAAATATATTGTTTTATATTTTCTTTATTTTATTTGTATTAAGAGATGCTATTCGCTACAATAAATACAGAAGAGACAATGTGAGATTATTTTTTATTTTATGTATTTAGTACAAAATGATCAGGGATTCAAAACCCTTTGGTTTAGAATTCCAGATTCTTCAAATTTGTTCAAATTTTAGATTTAAAAAATAATTTAAAAAATAACAGATCTGAAAATATTTAAAAAGTTATATATATGCTTTTTAATTTTAGAATGGTACTGGCATATTTGCATATGTTGCCGAGGTGTATGATCAAATTGTTGGTCTTTGCATATTTAGACAGGAAAACGTAAATTTTTTTAGAACTTTTGCGAACAAATATAAAAATTTTAAAAAGAAAAAAGGAAAAATCTTTTTTTTTTTTTTTTTTTTTATTTACCTTTAACTAAATTTTTTACCTTTTTTATTTTATTTACCTTTTTATTTTATTTACCTTTTATTTTATTTACCTTTTTTACTTTATTTACCTTTTTTATCTTTTTTACTTTATTTATTTTATTAAATTTTTTATTTTATTTACCTTTTAAATTTTATACCTTTAACTAAATTTACCTTTTAATTAAATTTTTGTTTTGTTTCAATTACTTGGATTTAGGAAATAGAGTATATTCGATCACATTACAACATAGAAGATTATATTTACTTTAGTTTTTATGAAGCAGATGAACATGCTCGTCTTTACCATTTTGTATTAAATCCAATATTTCAGCATTATTCAACATATTTTTTAATGGTGAGTGCAAACTGTTATAAACAGTTTATAAGTTAAAATAAATAAGAATATATGCAAACATTACATAACTATATCATTCATATGTTTCTTTTTTTAATGAACATTCTATTTTATGCATCTTTTAAGTTAGTTACAATGGCATAATTTTTATCATTGTTTACAAATTTTTTTATTAAGCAATAACATTCAAACAACATGTGTCAAAACAGCATGTGTCAAAACAACATGTGTCAAAATGCCATAACAAGTTTATTTCGGTGATGCTACTTATGTGATTTTCAAAACAATAGAAAAGTCAAAATAAAAAAAAAAAAAAAATAAATTTTAAATGTTAAAAATCAATTAAAAACACTAAAGCAAAACAATAATTTTGATTCATCTAGAAAATTACTTTTACTATTCTAATCACGACAACAGTTTCTTTTAAGAAAGAAATTATTATTGTTAGAAGTTAGAAAAATTTTAACTTTATTCTGGCATTAGTTGTCAATTTGTTAATACTTTTTGATAATACAAATCAAAGCTTCACACTATGATAACAAATGACAAATTAGTATTGGTTGTAATCTTGCTTTTAATTAATTTTTATTTATAGGAAGCTCTTACATTGTCTAAGAAGTCTTCCCTTTATTATACTCTTTACCCAGGAAACGAGGTTTGTTTTTTTAAATTTTTATAATTTATCATCATCATCATCATCATCATCATCATCATCATCATCATCATCATCATCACCACCACCACCACCACCACCACCACCACCACCATAATCAGATTGTAATATAGAACATTATATAGAACAATGTAAATAATAAAATAAGTAGTCTTCAATAAGAAAGTTCTGGAGAAGAAATTAATTTTACATTAAATTCAAAAACAAGAATACTTAAGGACTTTTTTAAAATTTTAATTTTAATTTTTTAATTAAAACATTTTTTATAATGAATATACAACAAAAATAACAAAATATAAAGCAAGGCCTTGCAAACTTGCAAATAAAGCAATCACTACTCTAATTGTTACACACACTGTAAATAGTTTTTAAATTATATTTACAATTTTCATATACTATTTATGACTCCATGATTGATGGAGAAACAACAGTTATAAAGGCTACTTAATTTCTTATTAATTTGTTGTTTACCCCAATAACTTTAAAATAGAAACATTGACAATCAAGACCGCTGCATGCAAAATTAAGCTAAGCACAGTGCTACCAGGGATATGTTGAGATCAATCTTGGTAATTTTCACTTGTGATGCAAGTGCTTTACCACTACTGCCTACATACTCCTTATACTACTCACTTGCTTACATATTCCTTACACTACTCACTTGCTTACATACTCCTTACACTACTCACTTGCTTACATACTCCTTACACTACTCACTTGCTTACATACTCCTGACACTACTCTCTTGCTTACATACTCCTTACACTACTCACTTGCTTATATACTCCTGACACTACTCTCTTGCTTACATACTCCTTACACTACTCACTTGCTTATATACTCCTGACACTACTCTCTTGCTTACATACTCCTTACACTACTCACTATAAATTATAGCTTTAATTTAAAGCTCTTAGAAGTTTTTAGATGTTAAAATATAAACAATACTAGTTAAATAATCATATATCCAATAAAGCATAACCTAAAATCTTGCAGAAATGTTACATTCATTATTAAAGTTGTTTATAATTTTTTTAATCTGTAACTTTTTTTTATTTATAGTTAACTAGTTATGATTGTTTGTAGACATTTTCCGAAAATTTTACTATTGCTTTTTGAAATCTTAATTAAAGATGGCTTAAAATGTATATAAATATAAATGTATAAAAATATTTAATTCTTTTTTTTTTTTTTTCACTTAATGATTATGTGTTGATATTTTTTTGTTACTAGATGAAAATTGGTTGCAGTCTTCCAACATGCATTAACAACTTTGTACCTGTTAGGTGTTTTTTTTTTTTTTTTTTGATAATAACTAATTTTTTCTTTATTTTATTAAATTTCAATATTTTATTATTTATTGATCAAAGTTAATCAGGCTAACATTGGTTTTTAGTAATCTACAATAAATATGAAAAAAAAAATAAAATAAAATAAATTTATATCACATTTTATTTCTTTAAAGTGTTAGAAAGCAAATTGTATATCCATTACAAGATTTAGAAGAAAACTCCCCAATGTCAAATATTCTTGAAGAAAAGGTAAGAATTAGGCAAACAATTTTGACAAGTATGTCAAATTTGATTACCTCCACATATTTTTTAGTTTATTATTACTTTTTTAGGAACCATATGCAATGTATCACTTTAACCGAAAAATGACATTTGAACATAAGGTTTATTTTAAAAAATATATACATAATAGTATATATATATATATATATATATATATATATATATATATATATATATATATATATATATATACTATTATGTATATATTAAGATAAAAATGTACATATAAAACTTATTAAATTTAATGTATTTTTTTAACAGACAAAAAATATGGTTTTCTTTTAAGATGTTATTGTTGTTATTTATTTTAATTTAAGGATGTTGCAAGTTATTTTAAGGGTATTATTTATTAAGTACTGTAAATTTTTTTTTAAGGCTGTTGTTAATGTTCGTGTTGTTGTTGTTGGAAGCTCAGATGTTGGTTTATCGTTCTTACAATCTTTAGTTTATCGGTGAGAGTTAAATAATTCTTAAATTTTGAACAAAATTAAAACTTGTTTTTAAAAATATTAATTGAAGTGCAAGTTTTTTTAAATATATTTGATTATAATAAAATATTTAAATATAATACAAAAGATCAACATACCAATATATTAGCTGATAATATTTATAATATTTATGAAAGATAATATTTTTGAAAGATAATATTTATGAAAGATAATATTTATGAAAGATAATATTTATGAAAGATAATATTTATGAATTTTGAAAATTGAAAGTTTTTACTCTTCTTCCTCTTTATTTTTTTTAATAGCAAAATTTTATTTCAAGTATTTTCAAGAATGATATGTTTTTTGTTATTTTTTATTTTGGACTTGTGTCATGTTAACATATTAACCAGACCAACAGTATCCGATATTCTTTTAACAAACATTTCTTTGATCCTGTTAAAAACATTATTTTTCATTTCCTCTAATTAAAATATTTTTTAAAAAGTTTAAAATTTCTTTTTCAACTTCATTTTACTTGTGAAGATTTTAATTGTGATTTTTTTTTTTATGTTTAGCTCTTCTTTTTTTTCTTAGCTCTGATGTGCTATTTTTAATATTTTATGTTTAGCTCTGATGTGCTATTTAATAATCTCACTTTGGTATCTGATAATGATGTTTTTAACATATACGATAGCAGTGATGATAATAAATTTTTTGATAGTTTTCAATTTGAGAACTTTCTTCCAAGGTTTGTTTTGAATTTTTTTTTTTTGGTTATTTTTACTTTTTTAAAAATTATAATAAGTAAATGTTCTTAATTTACTACCTTTTTAAAAGTATCTTTTAAAAATTATTTATTTAACCTTGTTTTTAGTCAAAATTTCAACCAAAAATCACTCAGTTTGTTATCATTGAGAACATGGGTAAATTTTGTGTATGGAAAGTTGAAAAAAATTGACAGGTTATAATAGCTTAAATTTAAACATGAATAATTTATTATTTTTAACTGATTATTATGACACTGTTATGTTTTTAAAAAAAAATGTCAGCAATTTTCATTAGAAATTGTTTTAAAAACATTGTTTTTTAATTAAGAGAGAAAAGATTAATTTATGTTAACAATAATGCTGTACCTTACGATCAACTTATATTATGTACTGGAGAATCGTTCCATTGTACTGTGCCAACAGATAAAAGCATTAACAAGTTAAAAAACATTGATAAACACACTAGTCAAGTGAATCCAAAACAGGTTTTATAACCTTTTTATAAGTTTTAACTTGTTTTATATGTTTTTCATTTTTTACATTTATTTAAAAGTTTTTTGAAACTTATTTGTTGTTAAATGCAGAAAGATATGCAAACATTAAGTGGTGTTAATGATCAAATACCAAATGGTGTGTATGCATTGAACTCGAGCAAAGATGTCTGTGCAATCTTCAAATGGTTAAAGTCAATTCCAAATGATGGTATTTTATTTTTATTATTTCTAATTTAAAGTTCATATGAATAAAAGTTTTTATCATATATTTTCAAGAGAATTGTTTTTAGTTTTATAAATTAACTTTTATTTGTTGACTTGTCACATTTGAACGATGAATGCTTAAGGGAAGAATGAAATACACTAAAATTAAAGAGAATTAATTCTTGAGCAAATTAAGTTCAGACAAGTTGTCCAGACCAAAATAAAAAATAACAGAAGAGCATTATTTATTATACTTATTTAAAGTCAATTAAAAAAAAAAAAAACAGCACTTAAATAAAATATAAAATAATACATATAATCTTCATTAAATACTGATAAACAAAAATATTACTTACCATACCAAAATAAATATGATAAAAATAAATTGAAAATTAAAACAAACATAAACTGATATGGCATAACAAAAGAATTTGAACATTTAACATTAATAATAAAAAACATGAATTTTTCTTGAAGATTCTAAATAATTTTCAAGATAATTTCAGTATATTTTAAATTTGATCACATTTTTGATTAGTTAGTATAATTTAAATAAGGTATTATGATTGGTTAGTATAATTTAAATAAGGTATTTATGATTGGTTAGCATAGTTTGAATAAGGTATTTATGATTGGTTGATATAATTTAAATAAGGTGTTTATGATTGATTAGGATGATTTAAATAAGGTATTTATGATTGGTTAGTATAATTTAAATAAGATATATTTAATTATTTAGCATAAATTAAATAAGATATTTATGATTGATTAGTATGATTTTAATAAGGTATTTATGATTGGTTAGTATAATTTAAATAAGATATATTTAATTAGTTAGCATTAATTAAATAAGATATTTATGATTGATTAGGATAATTTAAATAAGGTATTTATAGGAAAGTCAAGGTTTATCTGAGATGTTGTAGTTTTTTTAAAAATTTGACCAAAAAAAACCCGTGTAAATGCCAATGCAAACCTACTCAAATGTTTCAGTTGGAAATTTGAACAGATTTTTTTAAAATAAAGATTATCTGATAAGCTGTAATTTTTATATTTTTTTGTTTTATTCCTCACTCGCTCTCTCTCTCTCTCTCTCTCTCTCTCTCTCTCTCACACACACACACACACACACACACACACACACACTTCAAAAACTTACCTTGAGCAGTTTCATTTTATTGAATAAAAAATAAATGACAATTAATTTTTATTTTTATTTTTAAATAATAAATTTGTTTTATAAAAAGAAATTGCTGAGGAGTTTCTTTCATCAATCGGTAAATTAAAAAGATCATTTTTCATCAATTGCATTAATTTATTGCATTTTTTATGAATCAAATAAAATAGCATTAAAGCAAAAAATGGATGAGATTTGTTTTTATGTTTGTATTAGTTCATATATAGTTCAGTACCTCTACTTTAGGACATTTATTACATCTATTACAAAAATTTTTTTTACAAATTTCATTAGAGCAATCAAAGATATTTTGTTCTGAACTCTGCTCCATCAATAGTCAAATTCTTGTGCTCTACAATCCAGCTATGCTCCAAATCTTTATTAAACCTGGTTATTACCAGGGATACCTGTCTCGAGACTTAAGTCTTGTTCTTGAAACTTTAGTCTTGAACTCGAGGCTGTCTTGATTTTGATCCTAAAGCTTGGAGTCATAATTTTGGTTGTGATTTTTGGATATTTGCTGTTTTGTGTTTTCATAATCCTTACAAAAGGTATCAACACAATCAGTGGATTAATAATATCTAGCAGTAAGCAACCTGTAATATGGATTGTTAGTAAATAAATCAATAATAACAATTTAACTTGATATATTATGTGAAAATTTAATAAAATATAAATTTATCTATAAATAATCTATTTGAGCTAAATGTTTGCTTTTATTTAATGACATAGAGACTACATAAAATCATTTATTAAATCAATAGAAACTAAAATAATACCTAAAATACCGAAGAACTTAATAATAACATAGAAGGTTCCATTAATTTGTCCCTTTATTAATAAACCCTCAATTAAAAGAGGGAGATATGCTGACAGCGTTTTTAAGACTCTGTTAAAAAAAGTTGAAAAGGCATACAACAAACTATGATTTAAAAATAATTTATTATGAGAGTAACAAGTGTAATTTTGTAAATGATACAACACAATAGAACAAAATAGCTACAAAAAACATAAAATTGGTTTTGCAATGATACCATTAGACAAAATTATTTTTATGTCAATTATATAGGATTCTAGTTGTAAAATAACACATATTTTCTTAGACTGATGATGCTGATG